CATAAATATTTTTGTTCAGAGAGGGGAAAAAATGCAGTCGTAGAAATGGAAAAGATTGCTACACAAGTGGCGGCTCCCATTTTCATACACCAATCTCTGCCTGTTTGATTTTGTGAGTCATCTGCAATGGCAAAGAAGCGTGATCTATCATACGCCGCCTCCTCCACCTTTCTTCAGCAACAGTTTCAAAACCCTAACGATTACTGGAATCCAAAGGGATGGGACTGGGACGCTGTCAGATTCGTTGCCCAACCGCTGGACGCTGACAGCCTCGGTGTGGGAGCTCCCGCAACCTCCATGAAAGACCAACAGCTTACAACTGTTAGCAGTTTCCACAAACATCCCGCTGTCGACGATGATGAACATGAAGAAAGCCTTCGGTTGAAACTTGGTGGTCGCCCGCCCTTCAATATGGTGCAGGAGCCCATGTCCCGCCCCAGCAAAAGGTTACGTTCTCGCTCACCTGGCGGACCTTCTTACCCTGTGTGTCAGGTAGATAACTGTAAAGAAGATCTCTCCAATGCCAAAGACTATCACCGCCGACACAAAGTTTGTCAGCCTCATAGCAAAGCCTCTAAAGCCCTCGTCGCTAACCAATTACAACGTTTCTGCCAACAATGTAGCAGGTCGCCTTCCTTACAACTGCCTATTTTTTGCCCCTTTTATAAAAATAAAACTGGCGATCCTTTTCCATTCTATAATATTATGGTTATGCTTTATTAGATGAACGGGATGCAACATTTATCGCCTCTGATTTTATTTCAATGTGTTGTGCTTGGTTCTTCTTTGTGGTTTGCTCTTCAATCTACCAGTGATCTTAATCGCTATTTCTTTGACGCTCTTAAATTTTATCGTTGATCGACTTCTTTAGATTCCACCCTCTGTCAGAGTTCGATGAGGGGAAGAGAAGTTGTAGGCGTAGACTTGCTGGGCATAACCGTCGAAGAAGAAAAACTCAACCAGAAGATGTCACCTCCCAGCTCCTCGCTGGAAACCAGGATAATGCTACATCTAGCAATTTGGATATAGTCAACTTGTTGACTAAAATTGCTGGTGCGAAAGGTAAAATATGCTTTTCTGGCGGATTGCTTTTCTTTTGTTCTCTGCACTGGGCTGATTTTATGAGTAATAATCTCTAGGGAAATTTGGGGAAAGAAGTAAAACCTGTTCACAACTTCCTCAGAAAGACAGGCTTGTTCATATTCTTGATAGGATAAATTCATTACCTTTGCAAGCTGACCTTGCTGCAAATTTGGCCAATGCTGGAAATTTATGTATGACCGGTCTTGGGCAAACATCTTCTAATCACCATGATAAATTGAACCAGAACAAATCTTCTCCATCAACTATGGACTTGCTTACTGTTCTTTCAGCAACTCTATCAGCATCTGCTCCTGATGCCATTGCTATACTCTCTCAAAAATGTGGGCCCAGTAGTGACAGTGAGAAATCTAGGACAAGTGTTGCTGACAAAACAACTGAGCATAGTCTACAAACAAGGCAACCATTAGAATTTGCTTCAATTGGAGCAGAAAAAAGTAGTGGCAGTTACCAGTCGCCTGTTGAGGATTCAATTGGCCAGGTTCAAGAGACTCCAATAAATTTACCGCTGCAGCTTTTTAGCTCCTCTCCAGAAGATGAAAGCCCACCAAAGATGCCTTCTTCTCGAAAGTATATCTCATCAGACAGTAGTAATCCTGTTGAGGAGATGTCACCTTCATCTTCTCCCTCTTTGGTACAGAAGCAGTTTGCTCTGCAGGGTGTAACTGAAGGGATCAAGTCAGACAAAATTTTAATTGGAAGAGTGACCAATGCACATAAAGAAGCCAGCCTAAGCATTGAGTGTAACATTTCTCTTGATCTTTTTAGAGGGTCAAATAACAGAGTTCAACCTAGTTCTGCGCAAAGTGTTCCTGTTCAAGCTGGGTATACATCTTCGGGATCTGATCATTCACCTGCTAGTTTGAATTCAGATGCTCTGGTAATCTGGAATTACAAGGCCTGGTTGTTAGAATAAAACATCTTTTATTTTAGTGAAAAAACATCTTATTTTTTGTTTTGTCCTTTTTCTATATCAGTACAGCTTAGGCCTTAGCCAACTAATCTTTTGGGAATGGATTTCTCTGATATTCCAACAGGATCGTACTGGTCGAATAATGTTCAAACTATTTGATAAGGATCCTAGTCATTTCCCAGGAACACTACGAACTCAGGTGAGACTATCAAGGCACTGTCCTGTAAATTTTGTTATGTTCTTTTTACTGGACTTGTAACTTGATATACATTCTTAAAATTGATTATGTTAATAATTTTGCTTTCTAGATTTACAATTGGCTTTCTCATAGCCCATCAGAGATGGAGAGCTACATAAGACCTGGCTGTGTGATCTTATCAGTCTATGTTTCCATGTCTTCTGCTGCCTGGGAGCATGTGAGTGAATTTCTGTGGCGCATGTTTGCAACTTTCATATATGTCTTGTTCATCTCTTGTGTGATATATTGTGTTTTGCAGCTTGAAGAAAATTTTGTTCAATATGTTCATTCTTTAATTCAAACTTCTGATGCTAAATTTTGGAGAAATGGGAGGTTTCTAGTTCATACTGGCAGTCAGGTGGCATTATATAAAGATGGTGAGTTCTGTGATTGACAGTGGTCTCTCATTTTGTTTCAGAATGCGTATATTTATACTTTATTTTTGGTTTATATCTAAGCCAATTTCAAAATACTACATGGGCTTTTCTATATGGATTGCCCTTATCCAAGGATGGAATTAAATCTCTTTGAACTGACATTCCAGGAAAGATACGCTTATGCCAAAGATGGAGAACATGGAGGTCTCCAGAGTTGATATCTGTCTCCCCTTTGGCAATTGTTGGGGGCCAAGAAACATCAATTTCATTAAAGGGTAGAAATCTGTCGACTCCTGGAACCAAGTCAGTACTGTCTTTTCCTTTTCTAGATGTTCTCTAATGCTTTTTTCGGTTTTTTTTTTTTTTTTTGACATTTGTTCCTCGATTGTGTAGGATTCATTGCACAAGTACCAGTTATCACACATCAGAGGAAGTTGTAGGGTCTGTTTTTTCTGGTATGACATATGATGAGATAAAATTGGGTGGATTTAAAGTACACAATGCATGTCCTGGTGTTCTTGGTCGCTGTTTCATTGAGGTAGGTCTCATACAGAAATTCTTTGGGTGAGCATACATATTCAGATATTCTAGTCTCAATTTTTTTTAGTGAAGATAGGAGGTATATCTTTAATAAATGTGGCTGATAATTATAAACAGGTTGAGAATGGTTTCAAGGGTGACAGGTTTCCAGTGATAATAGCTGATGCAACTATTTGTAAGGAATTGTGGTTACTTGAGTCTGAATTTGTTAAGGAAGTGAAATTAAGTGATGCCATTGCTGAAAGGCACACTTGTGAATTTGCAAGGACTGAGTCAAGGGAGGAGGTTGTGCACTTTTTGAATGAGCTTGGCTGGCTATTCCAAAGGAAAAGATTCTCATATGCACACGAGGTTCCAGTTTTTTCACTTGACAGGTTCAAATTTTTACTCACATTTTCTGTGGAAAGAAACTGTTTAATATTAGTTAAAACCCTTATGGATATGCTGGTTGGGGAACACTTGGAAGGGGAATGGCTGTCCAAGGGATCAGTGGAGATGCTGAATGCAATTCAGCTCTTGAACCGGGCTGTGAAAAGAAGGCATATAAAAATGGTTGACTTGCTTCTTTGCTATTTCATACCTAGCAAAAATGACACATCCAGGAAATATATATTTCTGCCGAATCTTGGGGGACCTGCTGGCATTACACCTTTACATTTGGCTGCTTGCACATCAGGTTCTGAGGGTATAGTTGACTCTTTGACGAATGATCCTCAAGAGGTAACTTGTCCCTATTCCAGTTTGAGGTTTATATAGGACTGTCTTATCAATTTGAGTTTATCTTCTCCTAAAGGAGGAAAATTGTTTTGTGGGATCAGGCAGACTGAGCTTGTAAAATTACTCATAGATTGCATTGGAAATGAGTTTTTCTACTGTAGACATTAATCAATTTAAAGTATAAAGCATCTTCTGTTGCTTTTCTCTCAGTTTCCTGGCCTCCTTTCTCTTGGCAAGGGTGGGGGAAAGTGGATGGCTATGCGGATTTAATGATGACAGGTTGAATCCACTGAGGCTGTACTTTGTGCTTTATCTATGTAGTGTAAGAGAAGAAAAGGGAGGAGAATGGAATGATTGATAGCTTCTCCCATTCTTATCGAAATAGAAGTGAACAAGATATAGAATAGTTGAACTATCATGGCTTTTGTTTTAGGACATCATTTGGATTGGATTCAATTCCAACATCACCTTATTTGTGAATGGTCAAAAACCTATTAAGGATGAGATCCATATGATAACTATCTAGTGTTTGATACACTTTTATTTTGAATGTTGTTTGAATTTTCCCAAAATTCAATTTTATGTTTCTTTGAGAGTAGCTTGTTTGGTTTTGGCACATATCATTTAAAGATTGCACAATGATAAGCCACCACTACTCACATATAATAGAAAGAAGAGGAAATGTGACTGACTTTGTTTAAATATTTCTGTTATATTTTATTTTATTATTTCAATTGTCTATTCCCAAGTTTAGGAACCTGTTGAGCGTGTCCTACTTTTAACAAGTCAGTTATGAGTCTGAGTCAGTTTTGCCCAATAAGTCTGAAATTCAGGGAAGTGGGTAGTTTTTCAGAGTCTTTCAGTTGTTTTTCAGTTTATATGGCTTTCTTGTTTGTAGAAGGCAGTTTAGAATTAATCAAAGTATTATTTCAGTTCTTGGAGATTCTCCTTGACTTGGCTACTATTTTCAAGTGAGATGCTTAGAGAGAGTTAGTAGATTTTTACTCTTAACCCTACCTTGACTTGGTTATGAGATGGTTTCCACATGCTCCTTTGAACAATAACAAACTAGCCTTCTAGATGCCCTTGTCCAACAACTTTTTAAGATGGCTAACAATTGAATTTATCAAATTCGAAGGTGGTGACCCGAGAGGATGGATTTTGGAGGCCAAAAAAAATTTTCGGTATTATCAAACACTAGAGGAATTGAAAGTAGATATAGCAGCTATATATCTTGAAGGTGATGCCCTTGATCTCTTAGCTTGGATCAACACAAAATGAACCTTGCTCCACTGGGAAGAACTCACGAAGGTGCTTCAATAGCACTATGGCCCTTCTAAATTTCAGAACCTAGATGAGCATCTTTGTGGCATTAGGCAAACGGGAATTGTGTAAGAATACATGCAAGAGTTTGCTAAGAGGTCTACTTGAGTAAAGAACTGGCCTAAGCAACGCCTCTTAGGTGTGTTCAAATTCAGAAGAGAAAGCAGATGTCCAAATTCAGAAGCCACACTCCATATCCAAGGTGATGAGCCTTGCGATTGAACTATAAAGCAAAAAACCCAATGGGTTGTAGGCCAAAAATGGGTGGGCCCTTTAACCTGACCTAAATTCATTCTTATTTAGGTCAATTTTATTTTTTAATTTTTTTTTTGCCACAAGGACAAACATGCTAGCAACATGCTAACTTTATCCATTCTGCCCTCTTAAGGATGCAGCCCACCTTAGAGAGGCAAGTATGAATAATAATCTTTTAACTATGTAAAAGATATCACGAGAAAGTTAGCACATAGTTAAATTAGTTATAAACAAATAGAGGTGAAATGTGTAATGAATATATTTTTGCCAACATCTCCATGCTCAATACTTAAATGACTATTAATAATGCACTCACAAGCACCAATTCTCGAAACTCAAGAACTTGATACCAACTTGTAATGACCCCCAGGTCTTAGGATCAAAACTTGGTTTTGATACCAACTTGTAATGACCTCCATCTTTAACCCCAATTAACTCCACTAACCGACTACCCTTAATCAAAAGGATCAACCATGGCTGAACTAGAATATTTATCCTTAAAGAAGATTGAAACATTGGGATTCCAAAGTCATTAAGAAACAAATAGTATGATTTAATCATTTAAGACTCAAAGTAGTTGAAAATATGCAAAAACATGGTATACAAGATTTAGCATTGAAAAAGGAATGATAAAAGGGCAAAATCGTCATTTAGGAAAATTGCCCTAGTTTATCGTGGCCAACTACTGGTTGACATACATGTCACAGCTTTTATCTCACTTGCCGCGGCCAACACACACGTGCACTCACCATGGCCATACCCATTTTCCGCCTCTATGAACCCTGTATTATTAGCACAAAAACTATAGCATGCAAGCCTAAAGTTCAAACACACAGAAATAATCACTTGGACCTCCAATCAGGGTGATCCAAGTGTCCATATGCAGATAATAAATTAATCTAACTATAGGCACTAGTTACAACTCAATCTGGTACCGAATGAGGATCCTAGAACACTAAGTGTTAATATGAGCCTTTAAACTCCTTGCACATTCACTAGTGTCTCCCCTCTAACAATAGCCCAAAATTTAGATTCAAATGCAATAACTATCATGTGTGATAAACATATTTTTAAACATATCAAAGCATATTCAAACATCAATCATAAATATCAACACTTTTGCATGTTGGACCTTTTTCTTACAATAGGCAACCCACCCAAAACACCCAAGTTAACAGATAGGGCATACATGCAAATAATCTATAATTCACCATATACAAATATGTATGATTAACTTCTAATTTTGGCAAAAATATCTTTCATTACATAATATATGCGAGTAGAGATTACAGTACTATGCTCTAGCGCTTGGCATCAAAGGCTTCCCCTTTACACTTTGCCTTAGCATCTCCTGGAAAAACATTAAGTAACGAGAGTGAGATTTAACGATCTCAATAACCAAGAACTTAATAAAAGCATAAAGGCAATCCATAACATATATCTCAATTCATCATATAATCTTAGATGTTCATATATTTATATATCAATTCTTTATGATCTATGCAACTACCTTGTATCTTTTCTTATATTATCTAACTGAATCCATGAGTTAATAACTCGTATAGAACTAATTCATGTGATTGGATTAGTCTCGCTTTCCAATTGTAAATGGTCATCCGGTTAAAGGTTTTTACACTCACTCTCGGACCATGGGTTTCTCTTACTCAAATTTCAAGGCGTCATAAGCGCTCAACCACACTGTCCCGTTTAGGATCGATGATAGACCCATGCCATAAACTGGACCCTTATGCTCATGCCAGCTCAGTATAACTTGTGCAATTCTACTCATGCGTATCATGAAAGTCAGCATGCACTTAAACAACAAAACTTGCAAACTATTATCATTCATGCAACTGCTTAATCACTATTACACATTATGATCACATTAACAATATATCTAGTCCTATCATACAATCCCTCATATAACATCATGAATGATTCATAGCCAATCCAAGTATGCATTCCATCATATAACATCATCAATAAATCATAGCCAATTCAAGCATGCTTTCTATCACATAACATCATCAATCACTCATAGCTAGTTTAGGCCAGCAACTCATTTTCTTAATCACATAATATCTTTACCAACATAATTATCAAACAAATATCACTATTAGACATACTTTACATTTAACCTCAATCATAGTCTCATAGCAATTCCTTGCTACTTATTTTATGTCACTAATCACATTGCAATTTAATCACAGTTGTAAATACAATTATATCAATAATAAAATTCCCGGTTTCCTCCAATTTTGGGTTATCACCTCAAGAGTCAAATTTGAATTTCTTGAGGAAGCTGCTCCGAACATAAGCTTCAAGTGCAATTAGGCTACAACCAAATTCACAAAACAATATTAATAACTAATCATCATTAATTAATGCTTAATCTTCATTAAGTTCTAATCCCTCACCAAGTGTGATTAAGCATATCGAGACCCAAAACTAATTTTTATTAGTTTATTTAACTCTTTTTAGGCTTAATAATCACTACCATGAACTCTTATTAGCTTAAACGTAATTATTTAAGATTAATATTTACTCTAAACCCCTCAATAATGGTGTTTAATGTTGCCAACCATTAAAACCTTAGTATAGATAAATAACTCTTAAACAACCCAATTAAGTCACTATGATGGCTGTAGCTCAACCATCAATTCAGACAACCAATTCCTTTAGCATTTAACTCTAAAGCACGGACACGCCTAAACTGCTGCCGTATCCATGTCAGATACGCATCCGACACGGATACACATTTAGGACGTGGATGCGGTGTGTCCACTTTTTCATCTTTCGTCGAACACAAGTTGTCACGAGTGGACACAGGCAGGTTCAAGTGGACATGGGTCAGACATGAAATTCTATATTTTGGCCTTTTTTTTATTTTTCCCTAAATCAGATGCCTTATATGTTTTGTCCAGTCCATCCTTTCCCTTTTCATTCTACAAAATCTGTTGCGTGTGGGCATTGCTCTGTCTTTCCAATCCACGGTCATTGTCACATTATTAGTCTGACGCCTCCTCAGTCACAGTTTCGACGTCTTCGCTGACCTCACCTTTGTATTTTATTGCTTCTTCTCCAACTTTGTCTTTCCGGCCTCCTTATATCAAAAATCGATAATGTCGCTCTTTCGTTCAGTTCTTCTCCAGTGCTATCTTCTCCAACCTCCGGTGTAAATTCTTCTCTGGTGCTTCTTCTCTAGTCAGTTCTTCTGTTCTGAAATTGCCCACCTCTGTTCACATCTTACGTTCTATTGTTGTCTTCAAGCATGGTCTGTGCTTTAAAGTTTTTTTTTTATATTAATAAAGGAAAGTGGGAGTTGGGAAAATTTCTTTTGAAATACACAGACAAGAAAATATTGCAATTTGGCTTTTTATATTCATAATTACACAAGTTAACCCCACCACAGAAATAATTTCTTT